ATATATATATAATATTATTTATTTTTATTGTATTTTCTAATACATTTATTTTAAATTAAAAGCTGTATCTGTAATTGAAACACAAAGAAAAACAATGACATTCAATTTCACATATCTTGCGATATTATCATACATAAATTGAAAGACATTAACTGATGTATGTATTTATGTGTAATTTATGCGTTTTAAAATCCAGCAACAGCTACATTAGTGGTCAAAAGTGTGGAATAATTCAGATGTTTCTGAAAGAAGTCTCTTCTGCTCATTAATACTGCATTTATGTGATCAGAAATACAGTAAAAATTGAGAAGTTGGAAACTTTGGACGTTTCTTTAAGCATTTGTTTCTCATTTATTTGGTTCCACAGCAAGCACCTGCCAAAAGTTTGGAAACATTACAATTATTCATGATTTTGAAATAAATATCTTCTGCTCATCAAGGCTGAATTTATGTGATTAAAGTAAATAAAACAGCAATATTGTGAAATATTATTAAAAAAAAATAAATAAATTTTCAATTTTAATATATTATAAAATGCAATGTTATTCCTGTGACGCAAAGCAGAATGTTCTTCATCATTACTCCGGTTTTCAGTGTCACACGATCTTTTAGAAATCATTACAATGTATTTGCTGCTCAAGAAACATTTCTGATTATTATCAATGTTGAAAACGATCTTGCTGCTTCATATTTTGTGTGGAAATGGTGATGCACTTTATTTTTCAGGATTTTTTGTTAAATATAAAGTTTAACGAACAGCATATATTTGCATTTATCAAATATATTAATTCAATTTGTTAATGCATTTATTAAACAGAAATAATTTGAAATGTGTCCACTCACTTTTTATCACTTTCATGCATGATTAATGACAAATGTTTGAGTGGTATCATTGTTTCCACAAAAATATTGTGCAGCACGACTGTTTTCAACATTGATAATTATATAATTACATCACAACCGTTGCGAATTTTATGACAGCATTAGCAATCTCAAATTCTCTATTAGATGATATCTTAAGGCCATTTGCGTGATTTCAACCATCATGTAGTAACCCATAGACAGCAAGGTAACTACCAGGTTCAAGGCACAGAAACGTAGTACGGACATCGTTAAAATAATCCATGTGACATCAGTGGTTCAACCTTAATTTTACGAAGCTACAAGTGTACTTTTTGTGCGCAAAAGAAAACAAGAATAACGACTTTAATCACCGATTCGTCTCCTCCGCGTCACCCTAGAGCGCCGTTTTGGAGAGTATCCTCTGAACGCGGATACGTTTTCTACGTTGTTTGCGCTTTGATCCGAACATAAATAACGCATCCGCGTGGCGCGGCTGACACAGAACAGCATACGCTGTTTACGTCCAGCGGATACTCTCCAATTCGAGACGAGTTGTTGAATAAAGTCGTTTTTTTTTTCTTTTGCGCACAAAAAGTATTCTCGTAGCTTTAGTAGTAAACTTACTGTTGAACCACTGATGTCACAGACTATTTTAACGATCTCCTTGCTACGTTTCCGAGCCTTGATCGTGTTAGGATCCTTGCTGTCTATGAGAGTTGCATACATCAAAAATATCTTAATTTGTGTTCTGGAGATGAACGGAGGTCTTACGGGTTTAGAACGACACGACGGTGAGTTTCATTCTTGGGTGACCTATTAGGGCTGGGATGATAAATCGATGCATCGCGATTCGTGGATCGATTCTGAGATTATTGGAATGCATCGCGATTCTCTCTTGAATCGATTCTGAGCTTAGTTTTTAACAGTAGATGGCGCTCTAGGCTAGTATTTAACCGCACACTCAAATGCTCACGAAGAAGAGCCCTTGTGAGTCATGTAAGTGGTTAAATCTACTTGGCTTTTATGCTATTATGAGATTAATGTAAACACAGCCCACCTTGTAACTCCCTACAACTTTTTCAAACTGTGTGAATGATTATTTTATGTTCAAGTGGTGTGTGTGTCGGGAACTGATAGCAGCAGAATACTGCTGTTTCTAAAGCATGCAGCGCCATCTGCAGCGCAATCTCAGAATCGACGCAGAATCATTTCTCGATTTGCGATGCATCGATGTATTGTCCCAGCCCTAGTAACTATCCCTTTAAGTCTCACACGTAAGGTGCATTATGTAGCTGGGCAGAGGATTCTGTGGTCACCTGGTTGATGAAGAGGTCGAGGTAGCGGCAGTGGACGGCGTTCAGCAGCGTCGCGGCCTCCACCTGTTGGCTCTGCAGCAGCTGTCGAGTGAAGGGCCCCAGCACACGCTGCAGACGCTCCAGACTCTCTCCCAGAATGCTCTGCGTCTGCGCAGGAGCCCCGCAGGCGCAGCTCCCCGCCGCTGCGCCGATCAGCTCCAGGGACAGCAGCTGCCTGTGGAGGGCCCCGGGTTCCGAGGGGCCGCTGGGGGCCCGGACGAAGCAGACGGGAAACGGCAGCGTCTCGCGCACCTTCTGCAGGTCGCTCACCTGCTCGGCGCTCAGCGCGTCTTTACTGACGGCGTAGAGGATGATGGGAAGGATGCCGCGCTTGCAGTCCTCCAGAGCCTCCTCCACCGGCTGCACGCCGCGGCACGGGAGCACCATGATCTTCACCTCCTGATTAAAATTACATTTTAATACCTGGTCAATTAAATTTGGTCATTTTAGTACTAAATCAATTACATAATTTGTCAACTAAAATTAGCATAAAACTGCCTAAACTTAATGAATATGATATTTTCACGTTTTTTTTGTTTTGATACGTTTTAAAAACTATATAAAAGTATATTAACATGCATATTAAAAAATACAAAAATATATATATTAAAATATGCTTGAATGTTTGGTTATTTAACTGCTCAGTATTCTCTACAATTAAAACAATGTACTGTATGTCGATGAATGGCATGACAAAATATTGACGAAAGAAGAAATATCCTTTCAATTATGACAAAATAAATGACAACATAATGCAAAAAAGTATGTGTTTTTAATTAGTTTTTAAACCTGTTAATATCCACAATATTTCCAGACACTTTTGGTTACTGGATAAAAGGTTAGAGATTTATCAATATGCTGTTGCATATTAGAAAAACAGTATATTAATTACAGACATGTCTGATTTATTTTGGCTTGGCCTGGACCGTGGAGCGCGGTGTGAAATCAGGCTTGTGTAGGTGAGAGGTGTTTCTCCTGATTAAGCAGTGTGTTCCTCTGGGAATCCGTTCAAGAAATATTAGACACGGCGGGTCAGAGTTCAACTGATTAACCCGCAGCGGGCACGTCAGAGCAAGAATAAAGAGCGCTAGCACACGAGCACAATAGAGTCAGTCAGCGCCGTCTCTGACACAAGAGCCATAGACCGCTCGAGTCTCTCTGGAACAAACACAGCCGGCGGAGCCCAACAAACATCTGATTCAAACACATCAAACATGCTAACGTGTGTGTGCTCTAGCAGGAATCTCACTGCCCGCCGCCAGCGCTAATTAACGTCTCTGCGCTAACGTGAGTGTGTGCGGACCGAAAACAGCCGGAGTTCATTTGAGAGCAGATGCGATTCTAGCAGATGTGTGCGACGGCAAACATCAGAGAACAAACACAGCGACACGCTTTAAACCACAAGAGAGAATCATGCAGATAAACATGCTGTGAGAGTCTGATCTGACCGGAGTCTAACCTCCATCGGGAGTCTGATTCAAGACTCATCTGAAACCAGTCTGGATCGGAGTCTTGTCTGAAACTGATCGCAGACTGATCTGAGTGTTTTAGATTAACTGGAGTCTGATCTGCAACTGGCCCAACACTGAGGCTGATCTGACTTTGAAGAGATCTGAGTCTTGATTTGCAACCAATCCAAGACCTTAATGAGTCTGATGCGAAACTGGTTTGACTCTGATATCAGTCCCATATGGGGTTGAGTCTGATTGAAGACAGATCTAAAACCAATTTGAATCTGACCTCACACTGACCTGAGTCTGATTTGAGGCTGATCTGACTTTGACTTAGGGATGTAACAATTACCGGTTTGACGATAAACCATGAAAAATTCCCCACGGTTAGTATTACGGTTTCATATTTTAATTATTATATTATTATTCATATTTTAAATTATTATCCGATTACCGCGATTTGAACAACTGAGGATAAATAAATACTATCCAGCATAAAGCAGAGTTTAAATAACGGTCTCAGGTGCACACAGCAGCAGAGTAGTTTCGTTTTGTGTGAAAACACAATGGAAAAGCTGGGAGGTTTTAAAAGAGTGCTAAGGGAATTATTATATAAATTAGGTTCTGACTCTCTTCAGAGAAGATTCGATGGCATTTTGTTTTCATCTTCGCTCCATGTAATACCTAATAAAGTAGTGTTTTAATCACAATGCTGCTTTGTGCAGGAGGTTACGAGAAACAGCTGTAATTCTGCTGCTCCAGAAGCGCCACCTGCTGTCAGAGAGTGGATTTACAGAGACTCACATTCACATTCAGTCTGTGTGCAGTTTCTGTCTGGACTAAAAACAGACCGGATTTGCATGCCCTGCTGTGAATTTTGACCGGTTGATGAATAACAAGCTTATGAGGATTCTACACATTTAAACAATTCGGATAAGTTATCTAGAATTATTTATGGAGCAGATAAAATACATATAAACTTATTTAAAGGCTGAAATGTGAGGTTTACCTTTTTATGAAACTTTTTCAAAGCTTTTTTTGAACATTTACATGAGATATTTGAACATGCTATTAGATAAAAATTCTAATATTTTTTATAGCTATTAGATTTAAAATATGGACATCATTGGTAATGTTATTGTTTTAGTGATTATGCAAACAAAAAGTCATTTTATTTGTTGTTTGTTGATTTTAATTATAAAACTTGAAGTGATTTATGTGTCAGTACTTTTTTTTTGATTTATTCTTGTCAGTTTGAACATTTCCAGCACATTTTAACAATACCGTGATAATACTGATAACCGTGATAAGGTTGGTCACTATAATCGTGATAAGATATTTTCATACCGTTACATCCCTACTTTGACTGAAGAGATCGGAGTCTGATCTGGAACCAATCCAAGACCTTAATGAGTCTGATGCGAAACTGGTTTGACTCTGATTTGATTCCCATATGGGGTTGAGTCTGATTCAAGCATATCTGAAAACAATTTAAGTCTGATCAGAGTCTGATCTCACACTGTTCTGAGTCTGAGTTGACTGATCTGAAACTGATCAGAGTGTGATACCAGACTAATCTGAGTGTTTAGAGTCTGATTTGGAACAGATCTTAGATTGAGTGTGATCTGAGAATTTTATTTGACGAAGTGTGACCTGCGTCAGAGTTTGATTCAAGACAGTCTAAAAACGAGTCTGATCTGAATTGAATCTATGATTTGACATTGATCTGAAACTGATCTGAGTATTTTAGACTAACTGGAGTCTGATTTGTAACGGATGTAAAATGCACCGATTTGCAACCAATCCAAGACCTTAATGAGTCTGATGAGAAACTGATTTGACTCAAGTCTGATTCAAGACAAATTCAAACCAAATTTGATCTGAACTGATACCAAACTGATCAACTTAGCTAAAACGGAGTCTGATTTAAGACTGATAGCAAAACTGATTTGAGTCCCACCTGAGGTTGAGTCTGATTCAAGACAGATCTGAAATTAATCAGAGTTGGATCAGAGTCTGATCTCAAACTGACCAGATTTTGATAGCAGACTGATCCACGTGATTTCAGACTGACTGGAAACTGATTTGCAACTGATCTAAAATGGAGTCTGATCTGAGGCTGATCCCATTCTGATTTGCGACCAGCCCAAAACCTTAATGTGTCTGATTTGAGTGCCATCCAAGGCCGAGTCTGATTCAAAATAGATCCAAAACCAATAGGATCCACAGTTGGATCAGAATCAGATAAGATTTGACACTGATCTGAAACTGATCAGTTTAATAACAGACTGATCTGTTTTTAGTCTAAGTGGAGTCTGATTATCAGCTGATCCAAAACTGAGTCTGATTTGTGACCGATCCAAGACTTTAATGAGTCTGATGCAAAACTGAATTGAGTCCCATGAGTCCCCTCTGAGGTTGAATCTGGTTCAAGACCGATCTGAAACTAATCTAGGTTTGATCAGAGTTTGATATCAAACTGATCAGAGTATTTTTAGAGTAATCTAAGTCTGATTTGGAACTGAACCAAAATATGAAACCTTACTACATACAGGTTAGAACAACCCCCTTAACTGTTATAAATTCACTGTAAACCACGGCTTCTTGCTTAAAAAAAACGTAAAAAAAAAAAATAGAGAAATCGAGATTGAAATTTTTGGCCAAATCGCCCAGCCCTACCTGCAGCAGCGCGTGATGGAGCGTGACCTCCAGCTCGGCCAATCGCTGCGCGGGATCCTCGCACTCCTGGATCTCCAGATCCTCGCATGGCACCGTGTCCCAGCGTCCGCAGTGAGCCGCCAGCTGATGCACCAGCTCATACTGCCCCGGCAGCGCCAGGCTCAAACGTGTCTGACGGCCATGCGTGAAGCACAGCTTCCTCCTCCTGCAGGCCCCGCCCTCCGGCCCACAGGCCCCGCCCACTTCCGAGCCCAGGGGGAGGAGCCTCTCTCCCAGCAGGCAGTTGAGCAGCTGGTATCGGGCCGAACAGTCCTGGCCCAGGATGAGGATGTAGGGGGCGCTACCGACCACATTCTGCAGATAGTCCTCCTCGTGACGCGGGAGCGAGATGCAGCTGAGCTGACCTGAGACACAGAGAGAAACAAGGACACTGAAGTTTAACATACAACAAATTTTGGCAACTTGTAGCTCGGACTGAGCTTAAAAACACTACATAATTCGCAATATTGCACTACAATACACTACAACGTCACTGCAAACAAAGGTTGAAATTCTCTTTGACCACACCAGAATATATATAAGCAATATCACACGAGTAGACGTGAGATACGGCTGTATATCGGCTCGGCCGTAGGTAATCAAAGCGTGCCGATATACAGCCATATCTCACGTCTACTCGTGTGATATTGCGTTTATATAACAGTTCGACGGCACGAGTGTGTAAATACATAAATCAATGTTATACAAAATAACAACGGAGTGCTTTAAAAGCCCTCTTCTGTGTGAACTACTTCCTTCCGCCACGGATTCAAATCTAAAGTTGACAGTTTAACAGCTGAGTTCAAGCCTCCGTGATTAATTACAAAACGTCACTTTAGAACTAGTAACGAAGGAACGTCGAGTTGCTTACTGCATTAAAAGCAGTGACTGAGCGAGTGAGATTACCTGCATCTGATACAGCATTCATTCTTCAGATCAATCTCATTTCACAAAAAACATTAGTTTGAATATCTGCTGAGGAAAGCGATATCTTTGTCGTAACCAGGGTTTGAAATTCACTTTTTAACTCACCAGCCAATTTGGCTACGAAATTTTTTAAGTTACCGGCCATTCATTACTTCTACTAGCCAAGAAAATGTAATAAAACAGGACAGAAACAAATAATGATATTACTGAATTCACAGCAAATGCAACAAACACAAAACGATATTTTGTAGAATGCTACCAAACCATTTTGGTTACCCTTGACTTCTACTATATGTACAAAAATATCTCAAAAATATATTCTTTTATGTTCCACAGAAGAAATTCATACAGGTTTGGAATGACATGATGTTGAGGAAATGATGACAATTTAGGGTGAGCTATCCCTTTAAGAACTTTAATATTTGTAAATAGTAAACACCTAATTTATATAAGACAGAGACACTGATATTTACCTTTAATCAGGCTAATATTGAATCAACATTTTACTGATACAACATTTAACTCATAGAAACAGTCTTGTCGCCATCTAATGGTGGAACAATGTAACTACAATCACCATCACGAACACACACCGTTTCTCAATACTAAACATTATTATTAAATACTATTATTTATAGAATAATATTTAACATACAACAACAGCCATCAAAAAAGTTGCTAGGCAATTCAGTCAAAAGTACAAAGGCAGCGCTCTAATATACAGCATTGAATTTACATAAACATGAGATTTTGCCAAAACTACCTTCTCTGGAACAAATAATAGATTAATGAGACCAACGAATTAGATCTCATGTTTAACCACTACAGAGACGTCAGAGCCAGGGGTAAATTCCCGGAGATCTGGCCGAGGTGAGGCGCTCTCTCTGCGGGTTCATGAGCGCAGAACGGCCGCAGACCATCTGGAGCTCACAGCTCCGAAAACGTCAAAGCAAATTTAACAAACTGCATATCTAAATTATAAACAAGTACATTCTCGCCTCAAAACCTCTTAAAACTACATTCCGTGGCACAAAAACAGTCATATTTATAAAACTCACTTTAATATCGCACTCTTATCAGCCAATCAGATTCCAGGACCAGAAACAACTGTTGTATACAGTCAGGTCCATATATATTTGGACACAGGCATAATTGTTGTTATTTTAGCTGTTGACCAAAACATATTGAAGTTACAGTTATATGATGAATATGGGCTTAAAGTGCACACTCTGAATCATCAGGATTGGAGGAAAGGTTCAGGAATTACAGCTCTTTAATATGTACCTCTAATTGGACAGTTGACTCAAGAAGATGATTCATGGACAGATGTGGGCTATTCTTTTGTTATTTCTACATCAATTAAGCAGGTAAAAGGTCTGGAGTGGATTCAAAAGGTCAGTACAGTATTTATTTTATTTTAAATAAATAATAAATCTAAATATTCATAAAAGCTACAGCGGTATCCCAGTGCCTGTAAAGTACCAGTGCAGCAGACACATGAAGAACACTGAATGCAAACACTGAAAGCAGGGCTGTGTGTCCTGAGGCCTGCATCTCATGACCGTCTCGGAGCCGCCGGTCGTTGGGTTATTATTAGCAAGCGCTGCTGAGTCACTGCCTTATACAACAGCGCACGCTAGCAGCCCAAAAACACCTGGGAACATCCCAGACAACAGCTGTCATCAGCAACAGAGAAAAACGCTACTAACACACTAATTCACCATTTCATGGTTAGTGCAAAAAATAAACATAAAATTACACACACACACACGCATGCATATGTATATATATATATATATAAATGTGTGTGTAAGGTTACTAATTTGCAATCAAAAAATTAGTAATGAAATTGCAATAAAGAACACAATGTTATATATATATATATATGAATGCTTTTTAGCATTTAAAGTTAATAATTTGCAATTAAACAATTAGCAACAAAATTGTGCAAAAATTATATATATATATATATATATATACACACTACCGTTCAAACGTTTGGTATCAGTAAGATTTTTAATGTCTTTACAGGAGTGTCTTCTGCTCATCAAGGCTGCATTTATTTGATCAAAAATACAGGAAAAAATGTAATATTGTGAAATATTATTATGATGTAAAATAACGTTTTTCTATGTGAATTCAGAAATCAGTATAATATGCTGATTTGCTGCTCAACAAACATTTATTATCCAAAAGATAAAAAGAAGAGCATTAATTTAAAATAGAAATCTTTTGTAACAATATACACTACAGTTCAAAAGTTTGGGGTCATTCAATTTTTATTCTTTCTTTTTTTGAAAGAAATGTAAACTTTTATTCAGCGAGGATTTGTTAAATTGATAAGAAGTGACAGCCAATATTTATATTGTTAGAAAAGATTTATATTTTGAATAAATGCTGTTCTTTTTAACTTTTTATTCATCAAAAAATCCTGAAAAAAGTATCGCAGTTTCCAAAAAAATATTGTGCAGCACAACTGTTGATAATTCTAATAATAAATCAGCATATTAGAATGATTTCTGAAGATCATGTGACACTGAAGACTGGAGTAATGATGATGGAAATTCAGCTTTGCATCACAGAAATACATTATATTTGAAAGTATATTAAAATAGAAACCATTATTATATATTGTAATAACATTTTGCAAGATTACTGCTTTTTTCTGTATTTCTGATCAAATAAATGCAGCCTTGACGAGCAGAAGAGACTTCTTTAAAAACATTACAAGTCTTACTGATCCCAAACGTTTGAGCGGTAGTGTATATATATATAAAATTATTAGAACGCTAGTATTTTAAGGCAGTTATTTCTATCTTTTGCTGTAGTGTGTCAGAAGGAAATATCAGTTCACATTTCCAAACATTCATTGTGCCATTAACTGTAATAATGCAGTGAGATATATGTTAGTGCTGCACACAGAGATGTGATCTGATCATCATCAGTCTGCTGGAGTCACATGAAGAAACAGAACAAACTGAGACAGACTCAATCCAGAAGAACTCATGCTTCTAGAAACCTTCCTGCAAAGCTACAGTGCTGTTAAACATTTTAATTGCTGTCAATAATAATGTCAAAAATAGATTTTCTTTATCAATTAACTTCTGTTAACTGAATGAAATCAACATTTGGTGTGAGCACCGTTTGTGCTTAAAGCAGCTTTTGCCCTCGGTGCACTTGAGCAGAGTTTCTCAGGAGCTTCGCAGGAGCTTTCTCGAAGCGTCTCGGAGACGTTGTTTACTGCAGATCGAAGCAGCGATGAAGCGCAGACGTGTGTTTACATGCAGCTCGTGGGGGCGTGGCCAGAGCCTCCCGCGCTCTGATTGGTCAGAACCAGCCCCGAGCGCCAGACGAGTCCCGACAGGCCTGAGGAACCTGATGTGCTTCGCTATAAATCACAGCAAACACGAGCGCGGGGTCCGGGAAAGAGCAGGGGTCACCTGAGACGGGTCAAAGGTCACAGCGTGATGCCGTGAGAGCACTGCTTTAGACTGATTAAACACACTCAACCATTTCACTGAGAAACCAGAGGAAACTTGCGTCAGACATGCAAAACTTCTTAGTAACAGGAACAAGGACGACAACCACACCTACACACACGCAGACTACTCACAAACACACACACACACAGACTCACACACACACACACATACACACACACTCACACACATACACACACACTCACACACATACACACACACTCACACACATACACACACACTCACACACATACACACACACTCACACACATACACACACACTCACACACATACACACACACTCACACACATACACACACACTCACACACATACACACACACTCACACACATACACACACACTCACACACATACACACACACTCACACACATACACACACACTCACACACATACACACACACTCACACACATACACACACACTCACACACATACACACACACTCACACACATACACACACACTCACACACATACACACACACTCACACACATACACACACACTCACACACATACACACACACTCACACACATACACACACACTCACACACATACACACACACTCACACACATACACACACACTCACACACATACACACACACTCACACACATACACACACACTCACACACATACACACACACTCACACACATACACACACACTCACACACATACACACACACTCACACACATACACACACACTCACACACATACACACACACTCACACACATACACACACACTCACACACATACACACACACTCACACACATACACACACACTCACACACATACACACACACTCACACACATACACACACACTCACACACATACACACACACTCACACACATACACACACACTCACACACATACACACACACTCACACACATACACACACACTCACACACATACACACACACTCACACACATACACACACACTCACACACATACACACACACTCACACACATACACACACACTCACACACATACACACACACTCACACACATACACACACACTCACACACATACACACACACTCACACACATACACACACACTCACACACATACACACACACTCACACACATACACACACACTCACACACATACACACACACTCACACACATACACACACACTCACACACATACACACACACTCACACACATACACACACACTCACACACATACACACACACTCACACACATACACACACACTCACACACATACACACACACTCACACACATACACACACACTCACACACATACACACACACTCACACACATACACACACACTCACACACATACACACACACTCACACACATACACACACACTCACACACATACACACACACTCACACACATACACACACACTCACACACATACACACACACTCACACACAGACTACTCACACACACACACACTCACACACACACACACACACACACTACTCACACACACACAATATCAGGAATCCCCATCACTGATAACTAACCCATTAACACACAAGCAGAGCTCGACCGATAACCGATATCTCCAACCGATATTTACACTTTCATATATTGTATATTAGTCGTCTGATAGCAGATCTACTATTGACTGACTCTGCTTGTTATGCATTTAAAGAATAAAACCCAACCACAGTATTTAAGCAAGGAATCGTTAAATAAACTTCTATTAAAAACTTTATTAATATCGGACATTTTTTCTAATGTTGTTATAATTAAACTAAAGCTTAAAGTAAAATTATTAAAAACCACTGTCTTAATTTAAATAAAAATTTTAACTGAAACTTAATTTAGATATAATGCCTTCACAACTAAAAATGAACAACTGAAATGAAAATAAGTTAAGTTAAATGGGAATATTTATTTAAAACAATTTATAGAACAGAAAATAAATAAATTAACTTCTATTCAAAACTTTATGAATATCAGTCATTTTTTCCAATGTTTTTATTATTACATAAAACTTAAACTAAAATGATTAAAATCCGATGATAACTGAAATAAAGCTGAAATAAAAAATTTAACTGAAACTTAAATTAGATATAAAGCCTTCACAACAAACTGAATTTAAACACAAGTTTTAAACACTTATTTAAATTTATAGAACAGAAAATTCAAATACTTAATATAAATTTTTTATTAATTTTAAAATATGTTTAACAAAAGCACTAAAAAGGCTACTTAAAAATAAATACTATAATAGTATATAAATAGTACTTAATAATGATTTTTTAAAACAATTTAGAAATGTGTAGCTTAATTATCAGAGAGCAAATATATGTGTATTTACGCAGTAATATTTAACTACACAAATATATTTAATTATAACAAATTTTTAAAACTGCATAAATAATACAGTTGTAGTCTCGCGGTCACTTCTTTTTATTTTATTTTATTACTTTAGCATTATTATTTATAGTTTCAAAAAGCAGAAATAAAAGTGAAACATGCTGACTGGTCATAAAGACGGTGTTTATTATGAAGGTAAAATGACGTCAAAAAGATTTGCATACGCAGGGTAATATTTGTGGAAGTGTACATAAGACTGTAAGCGTAAATTAAATTTGTGGTTCTATGCAGCCGATCTGTTTTGCAGTTCTTTAAACTGTTGTTTTCGCTTGAAATCACTGTTCACAGTCTTGCAGTGCTTTTGACCGACTTTTGGCGAAAAAAACGTGCCAAAAGTGTAAGCGCGGAAAAATGGAAGTCAGAAGCATGCAGATCATATTTATTTTGCGTTAGCATGAAGCTGCAGTTTCACAATACATGAATTACACTTACGAATAACAGTAAAATGCTGCAAATAATTTTTTCTTGCGCTTGAAACACGATTTACACCTTTACAAAGCTTCTCTTGCGCATGCAAATTTAATTTACGCTTACAGTCTTATGTACACTTCCACAAATATTACCCTGCGTATGCAAATCTTTTTGACGTCATTTTACCTTCATAGTTTATTTCCAACAATATTCATGTTCTACGATAGCATTTGTTCATATTGTAAATGAGCTTGTATTTGTATGTTTCCAGCACTTCTGACATCTAACAGTTAAGAGTATCGGTCACTCAGTAAACGAGGCTGGCGGACTCACCTGTGTCCAGCGCTGCAGGTGTGCTGCTGCAGGCGTTGCTGTGGTTCTGTCGGATCTCGCGGAAGAAGGTGAGGGTCTCCTTCAGGTTCTTCTTCAGGAACACGTTGTGTCTGTTGAAGTGGCTGAAGGCTCGGGTCAGATCTCTGACCAGAGGGCTGTTTCTCTGCGGGTTCTCCATCCTGATCCGGAGCGAGTCCGCGTCACATATCCATACAAACACACGCTGTTTCTGCAGAGACCCGGATCACCGCAGGATGGACCGGACCGATAACTTTACAACAACAACAACCAGCGGTGTGTGTGTATGTGTGTGTCAGTGCATCAACACACGCACACACTTAAACACACACTCACACACGGCCTCCTCCCGTTAACCGGACCGATATCGGAGCGGTTCGGATCGGTAACACACACACTCTCGCGCGGACCGGGTCGCTGCTTGCGCTTGGCGGCTGTTAGGCAGCTTCTTCCCCCGCGGGTGAGCGCCGATCATCGATAATCCCGGTGTTTGCGTCGGGAATGTTTCACTTTTCAGCCCAAATACGCGAGTTCTGCGCTGCCAGCCGCTGCTGCTGCCCGTCCATTTGGCGAGAGGGACGCTCGGTGGGCGGGGCGCGACTGGTGCATGCTGGGAAATGAAGTCCGCTTCGCGTAGCGAACGTAAACAAAGTACGTACTAAAAACGTGTACGTCATTATTTAAGCGACAGACATTGCTAGAAATACTTTAAAAAACTAACAAAAATATTTTTACACCACCACACACACATTTCCTGCTGAAAAACATTACAAACCATCAACTTTCAACAATTAAAACCATTAAAAATGGAGTCCTGTAGTGTGTTTTGGGATATATCCCGTTAGGATTTAGTGGTAGCCACCAATAGAAGGCGACTAATTACCAGTCCAACAGTTACCATTAAAACCAGTACAATTGCCATTATAACCAGTAAAACCATTACAAATTCTGTGATGGTTTCTATTGTTTTGTTTTGTTTGTTTTTCAGCAGGGTTCTCACTCCCTTTTGAAAATTAACCATGGTTTTACAACAAATGAGACCAAAAAACCGTGGTTACTATAGTTAAACCATCAAATTAACCATGGTTTTGCTACACTATAACCATAGTTTAACCATGGTATTTGTAGTAAAACTGTGGTTATACAAATGGTAATCAATACGGCAAAAAACATGGTTACTACACTAAAACCGTGGTTAATTTCCGGTTATTATTACTATTATTATTTTGGTCGCTGCGTGTATACATTTGCATCTAGTCTTTATCTTAAATTTTATATTCAGTTTCAACTAAAAGAAAAACAGTCGTGTTATCGTCACAATCCTCTTTTCTTCTGATGTACACTCAGTGTAGTACATTACATGTATACTACAGTAAGCTTGTATAGTGAGGTATATGGCGACCTCTAGTGGTTAAACCTGCGCAACTGCTGCGAATCCAACACTACTGTAAAATCAGTTTTTGTGATTTTAATTAAATCAGTTTTTGTTTATTTACCACATTTCTGTTCTCTTTGCGTAAATATACACTAACATAAAGTATTATGTTTTAAATAAATCGGCTGCAAGGATCATAAAAGAGGACTAACTAACTGAAATAAGAGCACTGTTTTATTAATAATGTCATTTTAACCTGAGTAGTCAGTCAGTTTAGACGCCATATTGAATTGAACGCTAATATGAAACGTTCCTATGAGGACCAGACGCACGTTATTTATATTTACAGCTAATAAAAACGTAGTTCTGTTTTTTTGGCTTGTTTGCTGTACAGCTTGTCACACAGCAGCTTTTAGACATTGCTCTGTTTTTTGTTATAAGTCAGAAATTACAAGGAGCCAGCTTCCGCTATACAGAGTCAATGGAGAGCGTTGGAATGTGGGCGTGGTTTTCATATTATGACGCGTGTCGCTCTGTCCCTACTGTATAAAGGGTTTAAACACGCCTACCTAGTTCACAACAAACGCGAGGGGCGGTGCTTACGGTAAGCGCCCCGCCCACACTGGACTCTAGTAGTAGCTCCGCACGCGCCGCTCGCTCACTGTCGCACCTGTACGCGGACATGAACGCACGTCATCTTCCTCTTCCTCATCTTCCTCCGCTGAAAACTGATGGAGTGTGACGGGGATCCGGGCGACGCGCGCGTCAAGCGTCAGGCGGTGAAGCGGCACCATCACAAACACAACCTCAAGCACCGCTACGAGTTCCTGCAGACGCTCGGGAAAGGCACGTACGGACGGGTGAAGAAAGCCGTGGACCGATCCGGCAGAACGGTGGGTGAGAGAGCGTTCTAGATAATGCAGCGTTTAATATCAATGACGCTAATACAATATTAATCATTAAAAATAAATAAATAAAACGTATTTTAAAATCATCAGATAATTAAGTAAATAATGCAATATTTAGAATAAAATATAAAAATATTTTTTACTATAGAATAAATTGACAGAAGTTATTTTATGGCTGTGCTTTTTTAATTGTCCTGCAGGTTTTAAGCACTTTTTATGCTCGCGCTGGAAATGATTGGCCAGTATGTGTTTTGCACTTGCTGTGTGTAGTATGGCAAGCCGTATTAACATTTATTCCTTCACAGGATATGAATTCGTGATATCAGCAATTCAGTTTTCACTAGTTAAAAGGCTAGTTCTTGAGATCAGGAATTGAATTTCAACTAGTAAAACATAATTGTTGATATCTGTAATTGTATTAGTTAATCGTCACCATAGGCTGCCATTCAAATTCAATTGTTGATATCAAGAGTTAATTTCTTCCAATTTCACGAATCGGAAATACAATTCTTTCTAGTAAATGCCTTTATTTCTGAAATCAGTAATCGCGTGGTTACTAGTGCAAATGTCTATTTTTTATATCAACGATTCAATTGCTACGAGTAAAAATGCTAATTTTTGATATCGTCACTAGTGACGATGTTAATTTCTGATATCACGAATGTGATTGTCACTAGTAAAATAAGCCATCTTAGATATCAGAAATTCTTGATATCAGGAATTCACATTTGCACTAGTAACAATTACTGATATAAAAAAATAAAGGTTTTTACTAGTAAGAATTGTATTTCCGATACGTGCAATTGGAAGAAATCAACTCTCGATATCAACAATTGAATTTGAATGGCAGCCTATGGTGACGATTAACTAATACTATTACAGATATCAAGAATTATATTTCTTACTAGTTGAAATTCAATTCCTGATATCAAGAACTAGCATTTTAACTAGTGAGCTGTTGATATCAAGAGTTCGGAGTAAATGTTAAACCGGCTTGCCATACGCGGTGTCTGCATGTATTTAGAGGCATTGCTGAGCTGTTGTGATGAGAACACTCACTCTAGGTTTTGCTGTGCTTGTGAGGCTCGTCAGTGATCAGAGTAAACACTAAACAGGTTCTGCGGAGCCACCCAGCCTTTGGAAAGAGCTTTAAATAGCCCACGGCTCAATTCACAGAGCCTCAACTTATTTTTACAGGCGTAGTCACTCACACGCATGGCCCTATTGTTATTCTGCCTCAAACAGTGCCATTAATGGACACCTAACGCGCCAGTCTCCTCAAAACATGGGGTTCTTGTTTTTGCGTTTTAAAACTATTTTCATGACAATGCAGCACACTTAACCCTAAATCCTTACTTTTACTAACTTCTTTTCCATGGTTAATCTCATCACTGTGAAACAATTGTGTAGTTATGTTTTTAAAAATATTAAATTGCATAACAAATATTACTGACATGTAAATATTT